ATTATTTTTTTATTGGAAAGGCGGATATATACAGAGAGGAGAGGCAGAGAGGAAGATCTTCCGTCCGATGATTCACTCCCCAAGTGAGCGCAACGGCCAATGCTATGCCGGTCCGAAGCCAGGAGCCTCTTCTGGGTCTCCCACGCGGGTGCAGGGTCCCAAAGCTTTGGGCTGTCCTGGACTGCCACAGGCAGGGAGCTGGAAGGGAAGCGGGGCTGCTGGGATAGAACCGGCGCCCATATGGGATCCCAGGCGTGCAAGGCGAGGACCTTAACCACTGCGCCACCGCGCTGGGCCCTATATATGTTTTTGATTTCATAAGAAAAATGTCATTGAGGACAAAATGTACCTGGGCATTCCCATACCTGATGGCAGAATAAGATTAAGCATTTGTACTCCATCCTCTTCCAAAATTCCCATGGAACAAAAACTGCTATTGAAATCATGACAGTGACAAAAGGGACTACCAGGGAGTACTGACTAGCAATGAGTGGATGGATCCTGTTCCCAGCCACCAGAGTAAAAAAATACCTTTTGGAGACACAGCTGAGGAAGATGCTATGAAAATGGGTCGCTCTTCTGCACAGAAGCTCCAGGTCGGTAAATAACACAGAGTGTGCAAGTAGGGCATCCAGAGAGAATCTGAATGTTCATTTAGAAAACAAGTCAGTGATGTGTTGAGATAAAATATAGGAAATGTGGTTTGTAAGTTGGGACTAGACAAGGAAAAAATACTCAGAAAGCATAAACTATCAATTTGATTATAAAAATGTGAGCCTTTGGATAACAAGAAAATATTTTAAGCACACTAAAATGGTAAGTTATAGGCTGTGAAGAATTTTTTTTTGTGTGAAGAATTATCCATTAGTAATTAGTCATAATGTTTAGTATTTCTAAAAATCAATTTGAATAAGACTCAGAAAATGGGACTTGGACAAAGTGCAAAATTTACAGATTAAAAAAATATCAGAAAAGATGTGAAATTTCACTGGCTTTCAAATAAAAACAAATTGAAAACGAATAGTCTGATCTTTTCATCCATCTGTCTCCACATATTAAAAAATGAAATGAGAATCCAGGCTTGGTTGGGCTGGTACATAGGCATTGTACCAACCCAATCTTTCCCCCTTTCTCTTTCTATAGAATTCTCTTAAGTCATGGAGTTTAAGTTGATGTAGGCTATGGATAGCAATCAGGTGATAGCAATCATGCATTTTGACAACTATTTCACAGCTAGGAAATATTGACACTTGGACAGAAAAACGTTTTGTTGAAGGTTGTTCTAACAGCAAAAACTCAAAAACTGCTTAAATGCATGTCTATTTCATGAATTGTGGTATAGTTATATAGTAAAATTGTATGAAGCTGAGAAAAACAGTGGAGTTAAAACTCGATTTGTTTGCAGGGAATGATCTGGACATGGTAAGTGAAAAAGAAGACCAGCATTGCTTCATGGAGGTTCTATTTATGAATGTATGTGTGCACACAGCCGTGGGTGTGATAGCTGAGCACGTGCCATACACATGCAAATGATTGGACATCAAAGTGTTTATACTGGTTGCCTCTGGAGGGTCAGGGCATGAAGGGGTCTCCCTATGTTTCGATGTTTCTGTATTTTTTGACTTTTTGCGTGTCATGCATTATTTTGTGACATTAAAAACAACAAAAATAATTAAAGCATGAATTTTTGTTTATGACAATGTTTTTTTTAAGTTTGAAAATTATTTATTTTTTGTATCAGTTACATTGCATTATGAGACATAGTTTCATAGGCTCTGGAATTTCCCCAACCCCTCCGCATACCCTCCCTCCATGGTGGATTCCTACACCTTGTTGCTGTATTACATTTCAAATTCAGTCAAGATTCTTTCATTGCAAGTGTATACCAAGCATAGAGTCCAGCATCTCAATTGCCACTTGTGATGTTTGCATCAAAAATCAGAGTACTTGGGTTCAAGTTTCGGTTCTGCTTCTAATTCCTGCTTCCTGGTTATATGAACCTGGGAGGCAATTGGTGCTGACCCATTTGTCACCTACATGGGAGACTCAGGGTGAGTTCCAGGGTTTCTGGCTTTGTCCTAGCCAAGCCCCTATTATTTTGGAAATTTGTGGAATTAACTAGTAGATGGAAGCTTACCTTATTTAGTGCATATTTTATTAATTGCTTTATTTCTAGGGCTATAAATGGTAAGTATACAGTGTCTATGTAATGAATAAATGAATATGTATATTGTCAAAAATTCTCCTCAGGCAGTGCCATTAAAAATAAGACAAGCCCAACTTAATTTATTTGAATGGTAGATAGATAGATAGATAGATAGATAGATAGATAGATATAGATAGATAGATAGATAGATAGATAGATAGATAGATAGATAGATAGAGCAAGCTTCCATCTACAACCAATGGATGTGGGAACTTTTCTAATGGGCTATAGCTCCCACAGGTGAGCATGGGAACTAGCTAGCATTGAGGGTGGGCCTGGCTGGGCAGGCAATGCCACCAGCTGGTGTGTAAAATTGGTCAGGCTGAGCTGGGTGCCAACATCCACTGAGGTGTATGAGAGCCAAATAGGATGCGGGACAGACTGGATCAGTCTGATGCACATACCGGCTTGTGCAGCGGCTGAGGCTGGGGGTGGGCCTATTGGGGGTTACCGGGGGTCGTTCTGTTTAGGAGTGCATGAGGACCAAGTATGCGGTAGGCAGGGATGACTGGGCCACAAGTGGTATTTTAACTGTTGAGCCAAATGCCCACCCCAGGCCAACTTCAGAAATCTCAAGCAATATTTGTGGCTGATTGAAGTGAAACTGACAGATCATCTGGTCCACTTGAGTGTGGGATTATGGATCTATTTATTTAGAGATAAATGACCCCTCACATCAACTACTGTATATTAGCCTAGTTAGACAAAACTTCATTCACTAGCGGGATCAAGGAAAAGGCAGTGCCTGAATACTCAGTTTAAGAAGGAAGAGAGGTGGCAAAATTTTAGAAACAAAACTATTAAAGCCAAGTGTTATTTCCTTACAATTATTGCTTGTTTAGAAAGTTTTATTTCCTTAGTGGATCAAAATGTTTCCTCTTGTGTTGCTGTCTCAGGTTAAACTGCTTTCTTTGATTAAAGGCAGGAATATTAATGGAAAAAAGCTCCAAAATAATGGAGCTTTCATAATGAGCATTCCGTTCTTCAGTTAACTGAATAAATACTTATGAATAAATATCTTGGTAGCCTTGCTTATTAGACTAACACATGGTAGCAAAGAAAAAAGCCCAGATCAATTTACCTGGAATTCAGGTTTGATTTTACCATTACCCACCATCTGGTGAATTTGACAGGGGCAAAGCCAGACAAATGTTTGGTTGTTGAAGCTCCAGAACCATTCCAACCCTAGAAGGTGTTCTGGTGGTTGGCATGTGGGATGCCTGTTCTTCTGAGCATTAATGTCAAAAAGGTGGTTTATGTCATGTATTCAAATACCTCACTGAATAAATGATGAAAATAACATTTTTTTCTCATCCCATAGTGTATAAAGCCTAATGTGTACATTGTTTTCCCTGTGAAATAAAGGGCTTAAGGATTATTTGACCCATGTAGACACAAATTAAAGTGGCAAGTTACAAACTTATTTTATTCCATAAGCAGTTTTAGTCTCACTAACGGCCTTGATGTGATTATATAACTTTAGCAGGACGTGTTAGGTAATACAAGCAAGCCTTCACTTTATGAAGGCAAACATTTGTGAGGTAAACATTTTTCTTGACTGTAAAATTGATGTGTGTTTTTAAATTTGATACTGAAAAATGATCAACTTAAGAAATCTATAAGGTCATGATATATTGCATATATTTTTAGAAAAGTGCATTTACTTATTTGTAAGACTGAGTCATAGAAAGCGAGACTTGTTCTCTCCACTGGTTCACTCTCCAAAGAACCACAATGGCTGGGGCTGGGTCAGGCTGAAGCCAGGAGCCTCAGCTGGGTCTTCCATGTGGGTGCCAGGGCCCCAAAACTTGGGTCATCTTCCTAGGCACATTAGCAGGGATCTGGATCAGAAGTGGAACAGCTAGGATTGGAAGATCAGGTGCGTAACCTGATCTGCTGTGAGACTGGACCCATTTTTTTTTTTTAAAAGTTTATTAATTTATTTGAAATGCAGTTAAAGTGTGTGAGAGAGAGAGAGAGAGAGAGAGAGAGAGAGAGAGAGAAATTGTCCATTTGTTAATTCACTTCTCAGATGGCTGCAATGGCCAGAGCTAGGCCAAGCCAAGCTGGACCTAGGAACGTAAAACTATCCTGGTCTCCTTTCCAAGTGGGTGGAGGGGCCCAAGAATTTAGGCCATCTTTTTTGAGATATTGTTAGGTACATTACTTAACTTACATTACCTACTTGCTGGATTGGAACTAGAATAACCAAGACATGAACAAGTCACAGGTGGCAGCTTTTGGGTCAGCACATCGATTCCTACTTACCTCTTTTTCCAAAGTATTATGCACTGTTCTAAAATTAAGTTAGGGTAAGTTCATATTATATGATTCAACAATTATTTTCAGAACCCATTGGAAGGACTGTAATGTCCTCATTTAGCAAACAAAAAATGGTGGGAAAACCAGATAGACAATTTGCATGCTTAGTGTAAACTGCATTTAGGGAATAAAGGCTTCCCCTTTGGAAAGCTTCAGTAATCCTTGGTAGACACTGTCTATACCTACAGTGCCATAATATACCAAACAGTAGAATGCTGGACTTGTGACTGTTGCTGAAGGACTATACTATTGTAATAATATGGGAGGAAACAAAGGGAGAGGAAATGGGGGGGCAAAGGGGAGTGCTTATGGAATCTTATCGGAAAAAATAACAGTAACTTAGCAATGCAATAGACCAGAACATGTTCAGAGTGCTTTCTTGGTAGACCAGAGTGCTTTCAGCATGATGAGGAATTCCAAATAGGCTATTGTTAGAACATTTTTTATTTGGTTACTGCATTGGAAGCTTAAGCTATTGGTGTTTTCTCTCAGGTTCAGATTGAAGTTCATTTGCCTTCTCTCTCCCTTTGAAAGAAGCCATGAATGTGTCTGCTCCTAGGTACTCACCAAGGGCTATCATCATTTTTGTAGAGATTATTCTAGGGAAAAGCAGAGAACAAAATTAGGATCCTTTAAGACAAGTCAAAAAGACTATCTGGTAAGGATGAAAGGCAAACTACACGAAGTCTGTGGTATGATCTGTGCCGTGCGTGTGTTATTTAATGGAAGGAGAGGACAGAGGACTGCTATGGTACACCCGAGTGCTGCCGACATTTTCAGTCTACAGGCTTTCCTTTCACATTCGCCCCTGGGTATTTAAAAAGTCCTAATGTTCACACCACAATCAACCCATATGGCACAGCATCTGAATTTTGTGGAAAAGATCATGACATCTTTACTTTCCAGACTAAGACACAGTAACAAAAACTAGAAAGAGAATTAAATCAGCCAAAACACAGTCTCTAAAGATCAGTAGATTGATTTGTCCTCTAGGCAATTCCAATGTACATTCAACAGTGAGAACCATCAGCTTGCATCCTTGAAGTCAGAGGTTGTTTCCCCATCTCAGTTCTGCTTCCACCAGTATTATTCCATTCAGTTCAAGCTAGCTAATATGAGTTTCTATGTATCACATGTCTACTTTATGTTTGATTCTGTCTAGGCCAGGGTATGAAACAGAAAAACAAACAAAAACTGGAAAACCACATTTTGTCCTCGGGGAGCAGACATGCTGTTCAGTGCATATGGTGTGATGAAAGTTAAAAGAAAGCAGGGATGGGTATAAAGGGAGGGGACAATGAGGGACGTCAACCCAGCTCAGCAATCAAGGTAGCTAATGACAGGAAAGACACTGAAAAGTTGCAAATAGCCCAGAAAGTACTGTATTTAACAACAAATGAATTCTGTCTTGGGGATTCTCTGCCTGTGCTTTCCTGTTCTATAAGGTCAGGTTTAGAATTTCTAATCTAATCTTAAAATCCTGAATTGGAAATGTTTCCAAATTAGAAACGCCTTGATTACTGACATGACAAAACAAGTAAAGAATTCAAACATAACCTCATTGTAGTCAAAATGCAGGTGCAAAGATAATAATAAGAGACAACGAATCAAGTTAAGGTGTTCACTGACGAATAAATGGATTGAGACAAATGTGGTATATAAACACATTGGAATACCACTCATTCATAAAAAGAGTGAAATCCTGTTATTTCACACAGGTGAAACTACCACATGTTCTCATTTCTATGTGAAAGTTAAAAAATTGATTTCATGGTACAGATTGAATAGGGGTTACCAAAACTGGGGAATGATGTGGAGGTGGTGTTGGTGAATGGAGAGGGGATGGGTACGGGGATGCAGTTGGGTAGCAGGAATAACTTCTCATGTTCTGTTGCACAGTAGGATAACTGTGGTTGACAACTATTAATTGGATAATCCAAAATAGCTAGTGAAGTGCATGCTATCAACACAAAGAAAAACATTTAAGATGATGGATGTGCAAATAACACTGATCTGATTATTATGCATTGAGCACATGTTTTGAAATATTGCCTTATATCCCACGTGTGCAGCTATGATATGTCAACTATAAAAGGAAAACAAATTCCATATGTACTAAAGCTTTTGCATAAATTACCTTCAGATTATGTATATTAAATGTACGTTAAACACAAATGTATGCATGATTAGATTTGGGCTCCATCCCTAACATATTTCATTATCTCTATGCAAATATTTCAAAATCACACAAAAATCCTAAATTCTAAATTCTTCAGGTCCCAAGCATTTCAGAGAGAGAATACTCAGCCTGCATTTATATTAAGAGAAATAAAGGATTAAGGTGTATAGTCAGATTACAAACTTTGGTTTGAAATTTAGGACTAGCAGGTTTTAGCAGTTTATCCATGAAAAGCAGAGCAGAATAAAACAAAACAAGACAAAAAGCAAAACAAAACACAAAGTCTCTTTAAGCTTTACTAAGATGCCTTAGTTGTGATCAGTTTCAGGTCAAGTTGTCACCATTTTGTCAGGTACTTAGCAGGCACTTTATAAAGGCAACATATGCTCTTTGGGCTGAATCCATCTGTTAACATTTTGGAATTCATAGTTTGGGCCTTGTATGAAGTTACAGAGGCTTTCACAAAATGAATTGAGCAACTTACCAAATTCTTTCAATATTTTTGTTACAGCACACTCAAGTATTTTGTCCTTCATTTCAGTCATTAGTCTCTACATTTGACTCTACATTAGTGAAATGGAGTAGTTAACTGAAAACAAAAACTCAGGGTCTGGTGCGATGGCTCAGTAGCTACTTGCATATGCCAGTATACCATTTGGGTGCCAGTTTGTGTCTCCAGTGCTCTACTCCCCATCCACTTCCCTACTTGTGGCTTGGGAAAACAGTAGAGGGTGACCTAAAATTGTGGACCTTGCACCCATGTGGGAGACCCTGAAGAAACTCCAGGCTCCTGGCTTCAGATCAGCTCCAACTCCTGCTGTTTTGGCCAGAGTGAACCGGTGGATGGAAGATCTTTATCTCTTATCTCCTTCTCTCTGTAAATCTGCCTTTCTAATAAAAATAAATCTTAAAAGAAGAAAAAAAAAACACAAACTTCTTCATGAAAGAAAAATTAAAAGCCCCAAATAATAAAGGGATTCATTGTTTTCGTGTTAAAGGAAGTATGTTTTTGCAATGATTAAATTCTTGCTGAATTTTTGTCAATATCAGGAGTAGTCAAGACAGTTAGCAATAGTGTAACAAATTACCCTTGCATCATTAGAATTTTTTGTTTTCATTTAGAAAATATAGGCTGCTTTCTCAGCAAAGGAAGTAGCATTTACTGGCAGCCTATTCACAATAACCAAAATAATAATGAGGTCATTATTAACTTACTGTTTAAGGATCAAGGCCACATATGCAAATTTGGGTATAATTATGTAAACTCGTTCTTCTAAGATGGCATCTAAAACTTTTTTGGCCACATATTCTGGTTCCAGTGAGGGTAATAGAAATGAATACCTGGAATAGCAATAACAAAATGTATCACCAGTGTGTTAGCATCCATTATTACATTTCAGAATGGGATCATAACAATGAGATGTAAGTAGTCACACAACATTTAAATATTGGAACCAGTGCTGGAATACATAGTTTCTTGGAGTGGATTCCTTGTTTTCAACTTTTGCTTAATTAATGATCTGGACAGATGAAAGTAATGGATTTTAGGGTTTTTTTTTCCTCTTTCTTCAATCTCTCTTTCCAAACATCATATAATTGGATGCTATGAAAAAGCTAATTATTTAAAAATACTATTTAAAATAGTAGCTTACCAAAGATTATTTCTTGAGTGTCTTTAATGTATCATTTTCAAATAGTAAGAAGATACAGATGTTTGTGGGCTCAATAGCAGTTGAAATGGATGAGCATACAAAGAAAGTCCCATGAGATTTTACTTCAACATTTTATACTTTCATGCGCCTCTTCTCAATGACTTGAAACTCAGTAATCTGTGAAACACTCTGTTTATCTCCACTGATTCTTGGACTCTGGTCAATTTTCCATAACTGAATGCTGGCAAGTAGGCAGGCTTCATATTATCCTTTCCTAAAACTTGTTTAGCCCTACAGCTTGAGAGTCTCCAACATTCATAAAAACATAAAATATACAAATCATTGTATCTTTCATCCTCTACCATTATTGCCATTTTTTTTTTCCTGGAGGCTTTCTTTTTAGCCTTTTACATGCTTAGGAACCCCATGTTTGTAAGTCATCAGTAGGGGATGGTGTGGTGATGCAAGCTAAATTTCCTCTTAATATGCCGGAATCCAGTATGAGAGCACTGTTTCAAATCCCAGCTACTTTGCTTTTAATCCGGCCCTTCGCTTACCTGAGAAAGCAGTGGAATATAGCCCAAGTACTTGGGGTCCTGCCACCACTGTGGGAGACCGGAATGTAGCTCCTGGCTCCTGGTTTTGGCCTGATCCAGGCCTAGTTATTGCGGACATCTGGGGAGTAAGCCATTGAATGGGAGGTCTCTCTCTGTGTCTATGTCTCTCTCTGTCACTCTGACTTTCAAATAAATAAATCTTTGCAAAAAAGTCATCATTTAACTTCAGTGTCTTTGCCATTACCCTGCTATCTCATCCTGACTCATTATATTCCTTCTTTTAAAAACACTTAATCACTATATTATCAATCCTTACTAATATTGTTATTTTAGTCACAATATTTGAAACAAAGAAGTAAAGAAATGTAAAAAATGTAAATATTCGATATAACTACATGTATTTATATTTATTAGAAGTAATTGCTGATCTTATGCATGTTTAGTACCAATTTGCTGATAATAAGAAAATATGTAACACTTTGTTGTTGTAAATTGCATATTGTTAATTTCTTCTCACAGAATGCTTTTGTTGATTTCTGTGAATTTTTACATCTTATGTAAATATGTCACATTTTGTCTGTTACTTGACACGGAGTTAGAGTCTACTTTTTAGCTGTCATGAATGGATCTGGACAAACATCTGTGTACCAGTTTTGGTGAAAATGTGCATTTTCATTTCTCTTTTATTTCTCTAGGCGTGTTTAACATTTTGAGGAACTGGTAAACCGTTTGCCAAGGCAGCTGTGCTGACTTACACACCTGCTGTGTGTGCGAGGTGCGGTTTCTCTGCAGCCTCACCGACACTTGCTGTGATTCTTTGCTCCCCCGTGCAGATTCAGATCACTCCCTGCTGTTGCTTGCTGTCATCCTGAAGAACTTCCTTGTGTATCTCTCATAGGATACTAGCCATGAATATCCTATTCATGACTTGTCCGTTTTGGCCTTCCTTTTTGAAATACAGTTTTGCTGGAAGATTCTTAGTCCACAGTTTCTTTTTCTTTTTACTTTCAGCATTTTGAATGTCCTTCCTTTGCCCTTTGGCTTTGCTTGTGTCTTTAGATGGTTGCCTTGTACACAGGGGGAGTTTTCTTTTTCCTTGTGCTGTCAAGGCTTCTCTCTGTTTTGTCTTCCAATGTTGAGCGTGATCTCTCCCTTGTGTTTGTTTTACCTGGAATTCACTGCATTTCTTGAGTATATAACCTAACAGTTTTAAGCTTCTTTCTCAGTATTCTCCACTTCTAAGATGCCTCAGTGTACATGCTTCTATGTTTAACTGTGCTTCAAATTTTCCTGAGGTTTTGTTCACTTTTACTCATTTTGCTTTTCCTTTTTTTGTTTTCTGCTTGCATATCCTCTATTCATCTGTCCTCAGGTTTATTCGTTGTTTCTATAGTCAGTTCGCATCTACTTTTAACATGCTTTAGTGAATTTTTCATTTACATTTGTTCTCTATGGCCAAATCTATTTTTCTTTATATGTTCTTCAACTGATATTTGATGAGATACTATCACACCTTCTTTTTATTTTTGTAAATATGAATTTTCCTCAGACTTTGAATGTATTTATAATTACTCCTTGGAATGTGTCTGCCATGCCAAACATTGGGCCCACTTAAATGTGATTCCTATTGCCTATATTTTATTCCTTTTTGAGTTACATCTTCTTTATATTTTATATAGCTCATATTTTTAATAAAATAGTACAAATTTGGGATATTGTATTTTAACAGTTAGACACGGTAGTTTCCTGTGGGGCTTGTTATGGTTGTTTATGACATAGTTGGACGAGTTCAGCAAAGTCTGTCTGTACTTTTTACTGTCTGTATGTAGCACAGAAGGGTCATTCCTCAGAGAATGAGTGTTCATTGGGGTTGATTACGGTTTTATTGTCTTATATATATAGTTTTATGTTGATTAGCTACCTATGTAAAATATTTCATACATTATTTGGGTCCCAATTTTTACTGTCCTTTTTCTTATCATAAGCTTCTTGCTGGCCTAATTTTACTCATATCACACTCAGCCTGCAAAACTTCATAACTTGATAGCTAGTTGTGTTATTCCTTTTGCCAATATTCTGGTTTGGGGTCTTATCTAATTTAAGTCAGGTCCTGTGGCAGGGGCAGAGAGATGGTAATTTTTGAGGCAGAACCTCTGTGCCTTGAAGCAGGAGGTAAGGGTGACGAGACATGCACTCTTCACCTGCTATTCTATGCCAATAACCCCTGTCGTTTAGGGTGTGAAGATTGGAATTGAGGATGGCAGAAACAGTCGTGACCACCAGGACAGACCTTCTACAGCCCAGTCCCTGGGAAAATGAACCTGCTGATATTAACTATCTGCTAAATCTATCTAAACAGATACTCTGGATTAGAAAGCTGCGGGAGATGGAACCTGCCACTTGACTGCTGCTCTTACTGGAGCAGTTGCTTCACAGTAGAAAGCTAGTTAGTGGTGAGAATAAGCACTGCCTGGTTGAGGCTGTTTACACAATGAAGACATTCTAATGTGTGGAGCTGTGGAAAACGGGGTCTGCCAGTGTTTTTCTGCTGCCAAACCATGCAGAACAGCTCTCCATCCTGGAAGACTGAGAGACTATCAGGTACCAGCAAAGGAAGCAGTATGTATCCAATGCAATATAGATGATTCATATTATCTGGGTCATGCCATTCCTTCTTTTAACAATCGTGAAGATTAACTTATGTTTCCATGAAGTTTAAACTTTTCAATCAGCTTTGTTGATTATCTACCTATATAAAAGGCCTACTATTTTACTTGGATCCCAAATTAGACTTTTTTAGCCAAATTAAACATTATACCAAAATGTCGCTGTGATATTTCCCTTCACATATTAATAAACTTCATAATATGTTTTGTTTTTGGTGTTATTTATATTTTATGCTACAATGATAAACAATTTAATGTTTTCTCAATACATTATTCTATGTTGTATTTTAATATTCTGATTTGTTTTTTTCAGTTTAAGTCTTAACCACAATATAAAATTGACACACTATTTTTTAATTAAGTAACTCTTCTGACTTAATACACATTAAATTTTCTTCTTTTACTTAATTAGACATTCTAATTATTTCTTTTGTTTACTTGTATTTCAAGATTCAATATGATCAAATGATAATGGACAGACATTGAAAACTTATTATGGGAGCAAAATTTACGGTCAGAGTTGACTTACTTGGATGTGCAGCCATCAAACATCCCAGTTTTCATGAGATATGGGCAGACGATGGTGGTTTTAATTTCAGTTTTTTTTTGCATAGTTAATTCCAGAAAGAGAGACTCAGCAAAGCCTAATGCTGCAAATTTGCTTGCAGAATAATCTGTAACAGAGTGGAGATCAATGAATTGAAGTTGGACAAGTGAACTATGGGGTCTTTTTAAGAACTGAATCTCCCTTCCTTTTCTTCAGCTTGTCGTTGGGGACAAAGGCATCACCATCGAAGTCATTTAGATGACCAAATACTCCACACCTCTGTCACCACAATATGAACCCAACATAAAGATGGAAATTATTTCCAGTGTCTCTTAACCTAAGACCACCATGAGCCAATACGTTCATTCTTTTATCTTTTCATACCACTGCCATTAAAAATAGGGAATTGAGGGGGCTCGGTGCTGTAGACTAGCGGCTAAAATCCTTACTTTCCACGTGCCAGCATCCCATACTCTAATCCTGGTGGCCCTGCTTCCTGTTCAGCTCCCTGCTTGTGGCCTGGAAAAGCAGTCCAGGATGGTCCAAAGCTTTGGCACCCTGCACTCGCATGGATGACCTGAAATAAGCACCTGGCTCCTGGTTTCAGATCGGCTCAGCTATGGCCATTGCGGCCATTTGGGAAGTGTATCAGTGGACAGAAGATCTTCCTCTCTGTCTTTCCTCCTCTCTATATATCTGACTTTTCAATAAAAATAGATAAATCTTTTGAAAAAAAAAAAAGGAATTGAAAGGGAGGGTATTCTGGCTTTGAAGATAAAGTCAAATGCTCCACAGATACAATCGTGATACAAGAACTTCTCTACCTTGGAAAAGTTCTAACTTCCAAAGTCGTGGACTGAACAGAATAAGGCTTCTGATGAACACAGCACTCACCTGAGAGTCCCTTGATACCAACTAACCCTGCAACACTCGAAATACAGACCAAGTGTCCACGGTTGAGTTTAATCATGGCAGGAAGGAAAGCCTTGCAAGTCTGGAAGATAGAAATGGACTGCTTTAATATTTAATTCACTGGTAAATACTTGTTCAGTATCATATAAATTTAGTAGTCCTTTTAAGAGATGTTTATTTAACATTTATGCTGTGGTAGATTTTATGACAGTGCAAAAGTGGACATCTTGTAATTACTGTTCCCAAGGAGCTTAGGTTTCATTTTTTTCACTCTATAAAAAAACATTATTTGATGTACTTGCCTTTGAAGTAAATTATACTAATTGTATAAAATGAATTTTATATTTATAGTTGATGAAAGAATTTAATATAACTTTTTCTGGGATTCTGAGCTTGTACATGTGATTTTTAGCAGTTTGCATTAAAACTCAATTGCTTTTACCTGCCTGTCTGTATTGTAAATAAAATCTGCCCTCATACATTTGGACTAGTGGGATGGGAGAAATTGCTCAAAAAGAAGTAGCATCAATGTAGAGTAAACACAGACTGGTAAGTAAAGTGCTTTTGAATTATCTTCATGACTTAGCTTTTAGATACTTTGGTAAATTATACTCATTCATCCGCTATCCTGTCCACCTGTTTCTTGTGGAACGAATAATTCTAACTTTATTTGACCAGTAGTCATTGGAACCAAGACATTTCATAATGTTGTAAAAGGGTAAGTTAGCATGTAGAAAACTAGTAAGTGTGGAGTTTTGTTCATTATAAAAGCTTGGTTCCAGAGGTAAGAGTCCAGCAGTCTTAGTTCAGCATTCTTTCCATTAACTGTATATGATGTTTCTCATACTGTTGTTTTGTCAGCTATGTCATTTCACTGGTCCCATTATAAACAAATCTAATAAAACTCCGACAATACTCATAGTCTGTTTCTATGAGACTTCTTATTTTTAACAAAGGCAGAAGCTTGCATTTGGAGTTTTGACAAATCTGCTGAGAATTGGTCACCTGCAGAAGTCCAGATGTACTTACATACAGGGAACAGTCACTGGAACCAAGAATGGCATCTCAGCTTTGAAAGTCTTTTATGTTCCATTAACATTTTTCAGAGTTGCTAGAGACTAGTACCATGGTGTTGTAGGCTAAGCTTCCCCCTGTGGTGCTGGCATTTCATAAAGGTACCAGTTCATGTCTCAGCAGCTCCACCTCAGGTCCAGCTGTCTGCTTATGGCCTGCAAAAGCAGTGGAGGATGGTCCAAGTACTTGGGTCCCTGCATCCTCATGGGTGATCTGTAGCAGGGTTCTGGCTCATGGTTTTAAATTGACTCAGTTCCACCTATTGTGGCCATTGAGGAGTGAATCAGCATATGGAAAGTCTCTGCCTCTCTCCTTCTTTCTATAAGTTTATTTTTCAAATAAAAACAAAGTAAGTCTTAAAAAAAGAATTGCTGAGCTGAACATGGATACCTCTCAAATAAATAAAATTAATAAATAAACATAAAGGAGCTTTAGGAATTCTTGTTTGTCATAGTGGTTAAAATACCACTTGGGCTATCGATATCCCATATTCAAAGGTGTAAATTCAGTTCCCAGCTCTGCTCTGCATTCTAGCTTCCTGTCCATGCAAACCATGGGAACAGCTCAAGTAATTGGGCTCCTGCCACCCATGCTAGAGCCGATTCATGTCTCAGATGATGCATGATGACATGAGACTGCATACCCAGAATGGTACAAAATTTAAAAGTATGAATTGTTTATTTTTGGAATTTTCAATTCATTGCTTTGGACTGTGAAAATTGAATCCCTGGATGAGGGGGACTACTACATTAAAATGTGGTTTTGAAATCCTATGTATCAATGGAGAACGTTTTTAGGATGCATTGAAAAGTAAATTGGTTCTAGAAACCCATCATTTGTGCTTCTAAGTGGATATATACTATTAAAGTGAAGACAACGGAATATAAATGTCAACTTAGCAATTTGCTGTCAAAATGTCTTTTAACTTCTGTAATTTATTTTTTAATACTTTAATATATTACATATGGATCCAAGTGTACACATCACTCCTAATCAGACTAAGTCTGTAAAGCAGTCTGACTTTCATGATGAACAACTTTTTCCTGACTCTATCACCTGTGAGATGTAGTGCAAAGGGGCATCAGATCTGCTAAATTTTGTTTTATCTTATTCATGTAACACTTGTGGCAAAATCTAATTAACGAACTTCCTAAGTTTTTCCACACTGGCCTATAGGTCAGAGACATCATCTTTGTTTCCCCAAAACATTTTGGGTTATGAAAAATTAAAACAAGCATTCAGTTCAGTTATAGCAAAAGATGAGTTTACTACAAAACAAAATGTTGGCATTTGTAATTTCACAAATTACCAATTGCATCAACTTAAATGACTTTGTAGTATCAACTACATTTCAACATTTTAGGGTACTGCTGAGTTGGAAAATGTATAAGTCTTTGGCTATCTATAAACTTCTGAAGAATTTAAAACTCAAAGAGAATACATTTGAGCATCTAAGTAGAGTTTTGTTTATTTTGTTGTAAAACTTCATGTGAGATGGTAAGCTTAGTGCAGAAAACCTTAGCTAGCAATGTGATGGCAAAGCGAATTATAATTTTAATGTTCTTGATGAGACAGATGTGGTTGTTGGGGATGTGTAAGCAAGTGAACCAGTAAATGATGGGGTCCCGCTCTCTTTTTCTGGCTCACTGAGTGTCTGCCTTTCAAATCAAGAACATGAGTGAATAAAAATTTCAGATAAGTGAAAATTTTAATTATAAACAATAATTTGCAACCACATGGAGATCCTATAAGCACTCTACAGATGTGGAGTGTTATTCTTACGCCTGCCTCTCATTCCCTGCATTCCACACGGGCACATACACCGCTACCCTGAAAGCAGTCTTTGCTCTCTGCACAAGCTCCTCTCGCTCATAACAATTTAAATCTCCCTTATATAGCTACTGTTTGCCTCACCCATAGCTTTCTATTTTTGGTGGACAGATTTCTGGACAGACTAATATGAGGGACTAATGGAAAATGTGGGAAAATTTTATGTAAAGTATGTACTACCAAAAAAAATCTATCTATAGATTTTAAAAAAATGTATAGCAAAATCAACTTAGCTTTTTAATTCCACCACTCAACACTGGGAAAGGTAAAGTGAAGGAAATTCCCTGAGGATTTGGAATAAGACAAGGTCAGGCAAGTGAAACACGGTAGGGGTGAATCCCCGTCCATCGTTCAGCAGAAAACTCCCAAATGCAGATGACATGAAGAATGGCGATTTACACATACACACAGACCCTTCACACTTAAGGATGTAAGAGAGAGAGAGATTACCCAGAAATGAGCGAAGGCATTGACAAGGAACGATTTTTCCACTAGGTGATCTGGAATGTCCAGAAAAGGCTTTCCTGTTACGATGCCAGCGTTGTTAATAAGAATAGTCACATCACCAACTTCTTTTCTGACCTGGACAGAAGAGAAACAAGTATTAAGTCAGTTATGGTCTGTCATTTTTTTCTTATCTTATTCAGATAGTTTCTTTAACACTAAAGGTAGTTTTGCTTACAGAATCATGACTTCTGTGTGGCAATGACTTGCTGTGTATTGCACAGTGTTTTCCTTACTACTTGTGTTAGGGCAGCTCTTTTCCTTGTGGGGTTTCACTGCTGGTGGTAATGTCTGGATACACTGTCTGCTTTGATGCCTCAGGTGGAATCAGGTTTTCTCTTAATAGTGTAGGTTCTGATAGCTACTTCTTCTTTTTTAAAGATCTGTTTATTTTTATTGGAAAGGCAGATACACAGAGAAGAGGAGAGACAGAGAGCAAGATCTTCTGTCCATTGATTCACTACCAAAGTAGTCATAGTGGCGGCAGCTGAGCCAACCCAAAGCCAGGAAACAGGTGCTTCTTCCAGATCTCCCACACAGGTACAGGGTTCCAAGGCTTTGGGCTGTCCTCGACTGCTTTCCCAGGCCATAGGCAGGGAGCTGGATGGGAAGCAGGACCTCTGGGATTAGAACTGGTGCCTGTATGGGATCCCAGCGCATGCAAGGAGAGGACTTTAGCCACTAGCTACATGCTGGGCCCTCTGATGGCTACTTGTATAGTTGCCATCTCCCTCTTTCCTTCATGAGCATGTGGTAGGAGCACATCTTCCTTCAAGTCCAGTATTCAGCCCAAATGCATAAAAAACATATATGGTACACTGCGTGTTAACTGTGATCTGTGTGTCCATTGGACTGCCACATGTCTAATTATCATCTGTAATCTGTGCTTCCCTGGGTCGCACAGCAGTGCTATTGCTATGCTGCTTCCTGATACCTCATTGTTGACTTTCCATCTTTCCTCTGGAATTGAGCAGATTGCCTGCTTGCCTAATGCATAATATGCCACAAGCCCTACTCAGAGAAAAGTCTGCTCCTGGAAACACTGGAGAGCTATTTCTCTTTCATTCTGTCTCAGACTGTAACTATGTGATGACATTGATAAAGTACACTCAGGGGCAAAGTATGAAGGGTGTTTAAATATCAATTTGAACACTTCAGAAATTTTGTCCTGATGTGAATCATTTCACTGGCACATCGTACATTTCTTTGTTTCCAAACAGGAAGCATTACCTGCCCTGACTTGTTTTTCTAACTCCTGATCTAGGCATTGGTATGTGTTGAGCTTGCCAGATGACAGCATTTATAGAGATTCAGTAAATGCTACTGCTGATGTAATAGAAGGGAACGGATGGCAAAAGGAAGAGCTAATATCGCTGGGCTGAAGGATTAGGTGGATTAAACTCTGTTACTCTGGAGAGAAGCAGGACAGAAGAAAATATTGGGGAGGTTGACATTTAGAGCAGGACAGCCACTTAGTTTGGTGAAGTCATCAGTGTGAGCCAGTGCTCACTCCCAGACCAAAAAGACAGGGGCATATGGACCCATGGACCCCTGGGGCCAGCATGGTGGTTCACATTAAACCACTGCTCAGAATGCTCAAGTCCTGTGTCACAGTGTTGTTATAGTTCAAACTACTCTTATTTTAATCCAGCTTCCTGCTAATGTGCCTGAGAAGCAGCAGATGATGGCACCAGTATAGGAGTTTCTGTTGCCCATGTGGGAGAGTCAGATGGAGCTCTTGGGATTTAGAAAGGGCAAGTTATGTGGTAAAGATTACACAAACAATAAGGCATCAAGCCAGGACTAGGCTCAGTTTTTGACAACTCCTGGTGATGAATTAGTCATTTGCAAAAGCAGTTGGGCAAGACTGAATACTGAAGGCCGATCAAATTCCTGCTAGCATTGTGTTACACTGGAAATCACAAAGTCAAATTCTGGAAATATTATGAACATATATGTGTATTATACATGCAGATTTTTGAATGGTAGAGAGAAAGACACACACACACACACATACACGGTACCTATCTTCTGGTTCGTTCCCTGCGTACTTGCCACATTGAGGCCAGGGCATGCTGAAGCCTGAAGCTGGGAACTCCCTCCACATGTGTGGCAAAGACCCAAGCACTTGGGCCATCTTCTGCCTCCTCAGTTCTACATGAGTGGGAAGTTGGGGAAGGGAGTTGGAACTGATAGTTTAACCTAGATACATGATTACGGAATGCAGGCTTCTTATCCTATAAGCCAAATGCCCATTCTTGTGTTGAATTTTTAACATTTAGAATCTAGTGAGACACTCATGGATATCTGGGGAAGCTGATGGCAAGTGCCTCTCCTTATTTGGGAAAGTGTGTGCTGGATTCCTATTTTGTGCCATAGAAGTGAAGAATTCCCATCTGCTTACCTGACCAGCAACTCTGTAGACCTCTTGTCTGTTGCTACAGTCACACTTATAAGCAAAGACTTTCACATCACCTGTTTCTTTGACCAGTCTGAATGTTTCCATATTGCCTTCTTGATTAATGTCCCAGAGAACTAAAATGGCCCCAAGCTTGGCAAAATGTATGGCTAAGAGCCTCCCAAGTCCGCTTCCAGCTCCTGTGATAAGTACAATCTCTCCAGAGACTTTCTTTTTGTTCTTGGGAATTATCTTGTAAACTAAAGATTCTAAAAAGTAGTACAGAAATTTTCCCAAAAATATGATGGTGTCCACAATCACATTCATGTTGATTCAGCGAAGAAGCAAGTGTCCTAATAAGGAAAAAGGTAACTGATAAATCCATTTACAACATGACAATTGCAGTACATGTAAATCATTCACTACAAAGGATTAATTTGCCAAAACACATTGCATTTTTAAGTTACACAAATAATAATTGTGAGTGTTTTCTGTTGAGAAGAACATCCTCAATTTATAAGACTTGCTTATGCATGAATCATTCTGCTGCATAGGATGGACACAGATTTCTGGGTCAGTGTGACAGAGAAATAAGTTCTTAGCGTTTGACTTAACAAAACTAGGTGTTTCTGCCCCATCAGTTTACTGTGAGGAGAATGTTCCTGATGACATTAAATAAAATTTTGCTTTCATTAGGCAAGTGGTCAATAACTTACAAATAAGATAAATAGAGCTTTTATGATTTTCATCTGATTCCCACCATATCTCTCTGATACATACAGGCCAGATACAGTTAAGGCTGCTAAAGACTGAGGGCACTGAGACAGATGACTATTGAGTAGTTTTTCTCATGATCATGTGGTTAGCCAATAAAATAACCAACATTGAAGCTCAAGGCTAAAGATCTCTTAAATTGTGGTCTAGGCCTTTACATTTAGCATAGGCTTTTCTTGTCTCAGTAACGCCTTTTCCTAGTGTCACCTGGGAATGTCAATACGGCATTTTTTTAATATTTGGTGATACTTTGCTGATTTTTAAAAATCATATTCTGTTATATTAGGTTACTTCAAAAGTTAGCAGAAAATGGAATTAAAAGATAGGTTTATTCTGTTCAAACATTTTGAAATCCATGCCTATACTGTACGTCCAAAAGGCTAATAAAAATGTGCAGTATAAGAAAAGCTAGGCACTGATTTTAGCTTCACTTTCTTAAGAACTTTTTGAAATAGCCTCATACTTGAATAATCTTGTGCAACCATTTACTGTATAAATTAAACATGAGTATATACAAAACCTGTATTAAAATAAGCTAGCTTCGCTGAAACTGGCACAGTGGAGTAAGCTGCAGATTGAGACATCAATATTCTGTTCCAAAGCTTTGGTCTAGTCCTGGCGGATCGGCTTCCAATCCAATTTCCTGCTAATGCGTCTGGGAGACAGCAGATGAATGCACACATACTTGAGCCCCTGACACCCACATGGAACCTCAAGTGTAATTCCTGGCTGCCGCCTGGCCCAGCCACAGCTTTTGAGGTCATATAGAAAGTGGACAAGTGGATGGAAAATTTCTCTGTGTCTTTCCCTCTCTGTCACTCTGCCGCTCAACTAATCCACTGACTAACTAAAAGTCTTTCAAAAGGTAAAACTTTCTTATTTGAAAATCAAAGAAACAAATAACAGAGCAAATTGACTTGAGGAAACTATTATCACAATAATGATGGTGATGGTATTAGTAGCACTAGCAAGACCAATTTTATTAATACTGGAATTATTTCTACATGCCAGAAATATTCTAAATGCTCAGTGTGCATAAAGTCATTTACTTCTTGCAAGCACTGTCGTATTTTAAGGTTCAGAGAACAGAGTCATTAGAGGCTAAGGAACTAGCTCAAGTTCTGGCAGTTAATAAGAACAGTTTGAACCCACATATTAGATTCACTGCACAAGTTCTTAAACACTAAGTGCTAACAAAACGAGTATCCCATTCACTTTGAAAAACAAAGCAAAACTTGAATTTAGTAAAAATAATTGTCTTCGCATGACTTTTACTTTTTAAAAAAAAATTGTTTTATTTTCTTATTTGAAAGGCAGAGTTACCAAGAAGGAGATACATAAAGAGTGCGGGGGGTGGGTGTTCATCCATCTCTCCACATGGAAATTCACTCTTCAGCTATCTGGGTTCACTCCCCAGATGGCTATGATGCCAGGAGCTGAGCTGATCCAAAGCCAGGAGACAGGAGCCTCTTCTGAGACTTGCGTATGGGTAGAGAGTCCAAAGGACTTGAGTCACCCTACACACTCTCCCAGACCATAAGCAGGGAGCTGAATGGGAATTGGAGTAGCCAGGATATGAACCAGCACCCATATTCAATGTGGGCACCACAGGTCCAGCCTACCACACACCATGGTGCTAGCTCTATGACTTATTAAAAATTAATTAATTTATTTATATTGTTTAGGCTCTATGACTTTTACTTCTTTTTAAAGTAGTCATGAATGAAATTTGTGATGTCTCTGAGGTGCAACTGAGGATGCAAAAGGGCCCAGATATACTTTATCTTGTTGTTAGTTTCATCCTGCTTAAAGTCCCTCCTGAGATAAGACAGAGTTGTTTTCAGAACCCCATTGAAATATTAGTGTAGATTTTGGAAGGGAAGAGTGATCCCTGGGGGAGAAAAGAGGGCTTTCATTGCAACCATTGCATATTTATGAACATGAGTTAGGTTCAGAACATTAGGGGTTCGTTTTGGAGATGCTGTGATAGGCCCTGAGATGAGGAGGAAAGATTGTGGATTTGGAGGCTGACGAAGAAGCACAGGGCTGCAAAAATATCTCATAATTCAGGTTCAGCCTCAGCCAAAGGCATGATCGAGAGCTGTGTGATACAGACAGTGGTTCTCAGTAGCAGCATGAGGAATACTGGACCGAGAGGATCACCTTTGAAACTTGGCTTCAAAGGCTGGCTTCAAGATGGAGCATAGAGACAAGACATTATACTCGCTACAATTTGTTTGGAACTATTGTGGATACTAGCTGTAGAAAGGTCATCAAATAGAATTGTGTATTATGGGAAAAGTATTCATGATTTTATTTTTTTTACACTCAGAGTTAATGCAGATCACAAATTTACAATTAGGAAATAAGTCAATTCTCTAATTTTTCCAGCTTACAAAGACCTTTCTGGTTTATGCACAATCCCAGAAACATGTAGTTTATTGCAAGGTTGAAAGGAAACCATGCTTTGCCATCTTCTAATAACAAGCACTGATATGACAAAGAAAGCTTTTAGCCTCACAGGAATTTTATATGGGAAATAAGAAACGAACAGAAATTTTTCATTTCTTTTTTGTACACCAAGTTTGTTCTTAGGATATGTGACTTTATTGATCTTAGAATGAAGTTGAGGAGCTCGCTATCAAAATTATTACACTTCATCAACATGACACTGCATTGAGGTTGAGATTTGCAGCATTTTCCTAATCATTCATTGATCCAGTGTTTTTTAGATAAGGAATTACAATCATAGGATGTTATTTTGGAATGAGAGATAAATATTCACAAGAGCCTTAATAAGTAGGAGGATCAGGTCTGAAAAGATTCTGACTGCACATTGATCTTTGGACAGTGATGACAACATGCAGTCTAGAAAAAGAACAATGAAACATTATGATGAGCAAATAGTTATCAAGACTAAACGGCATCATGTGGTTTTCATGCCTTATTTGATTTAATTGGCAAAACAGCCATATGGGGATAAGACTGTGATTCAGGTAGGGATATAACTCACCAATGTCATGCCATTTGTAAGTGAAAGTAGTATTTCAATCACATTTTATGATTCCAGAACTCCTATATTTTATGTCACTCTTCTTGTGACTTCCCTAAGTAACTTTCAGTAAGGTTGGCTTTATGTTCCAAGAACTTTAATTTTTCAGGAATGTACTTAGTGTTCTGGATAAATGATAGGCTATGGCAGTGGAGTATTAGCAGCATGTCACAATGTCACCTAGGGCCGAACGGGCAGAATTCACTCTAGGAAGCACAAATTCAAATGCTGTGTCTTGTTGACTGCTTATTGAGTAAGTTTCATCTTATTGGGTAAGTTTCACCTTATTGAGTATCTGTTTACTTATCTGTGAAGTGGGTTCAGTACTTATCTCCAAGGAATATACATAGCACAATAACAAATGCAGCAAATATTCAGTTGGTTGAAAAATTCTGTGCAAATATTAACTTGAAAGTTTTAATTTGACACTTGCACAAGAGCCTCTTTCATGATGACATTACAGAGCTAGTCACTCCTAAAGATGTCCAAACATCAAAGCATGGGAAGCTTTTCTGTGCTGTGTAAGAATTATTTCTTTACTGTGCAAGTGCTAGGAGTGAATGGGGCAGGGGTTTCCTAAGCACTGTTGCCTAGGTAACCTATTCCATATTAGATTTGGGTTATTATAGGACCCTGTCAAAAGCCACGTGTGGGGGCCTGTGCTATGGCATAGCTGGTAAAACTGTCACTGCCTGTGGCAAATGCGTTCCATATGAGCACCTTTGATTCGAGTCTCGGCTGCCCACCCTTGATCCAACTCCTTGCTAATGTGCCTGGGAAAGCAGATTAGGATGGCCCAAGTACTGGGGCTCCTGCACCCTCATGGAAGACCCAGAAGAGGCTCCTGGCTCTCCTGACTACCACAGCTCTGGCTGTTGTGGCCATTTGGAGAGTGAACCAGCAGATGGAAGACCTTCCTGTTTTTCCTTCTCAGATTTTCAAGTAAACAAATACATCTTTTGTCCTTTTAAAGCCAAATGCAGGCACTCACAGACGTGCACTGGTACACACAAGCTAAATGCAGGCATTTGTATGCCTGATCACTGGTACACACAAGTCAGTTATCAGCCAAATAAAGGTGCTCAGTGGCACTTGCAGGCCAAACACAGGTATTCATGGATGTCCAGAGGCATAAACAAGGCAAATACAGATGCTTAGATTCATGACCACTAGCACACACAAGGCAAATATAGGTGATGTGTGCATGTCTGCACAAGCCCCAAACAGGCAGGCAAAAATCATATGCAAGCCTAACACAGCACTCGTATGAGCATCCACTGGCATGCAGGAGTCAAGTTCAAGCACTTAAGAGCACATTCACTGGCACACACAGTACTCTTTTTCTGACTCTCTTGGCTCTCTCCTTGTCCCTTAATACCTACACATGCTTTGCCTTAATTTCCCAAAAGCCACAGAAGTGAACCCAATCAAGTAGAAAAGAAGAGTAAAGAGATGCCAGGAGTGACAACAGGATTATTTCATGCCTCTGTTTAGGAGTTAA